GAATACAATAAACAAAACACCAAAAAGCGCCTACCAAAGATCACCGGGTAGTCGGCAAAGTTAAAGTCGCTCTCGGTGAGCTGACGCGTGGAAAGGAGCCCCAGCAGCTCCTTCATCTCATGCAGCTCCACGTAGCGACTCTTTGGCATCGGCACAGAGTCCAGCGACCGGGCCATTCGGCCGCACTTCTCCATCTGACTGCTGTAGGCGCGACCTAGGACGGCCATGTTGCTCATCAGGTGAAGGGCGCACTGGAGAAGTTGCTTGAAGAGGGACACCACCGAGACTGGAGATTCGGATGCAGTTTCGGGAGAAGAAGGAGATTCTGGAGATGGTGGAAAAGGAGGAAGATTCGGTGAGCAGTTCACAGGCTGAGTCCAAGATGATTTAGAAGGAGTACTGCGAGAGGGAGACTCGTTGGTTTGGGGCGACGCTCGGGGAGATCGTAGCTGATAACCGCTACCACCGCCGCCGGTGTTCCCATTTTGAAGAGGCGAAGACGACCTTTGCTGACCCCTCTTGCACCTGGATCTCATCATGTCGGTTCCCTTTTGTTGAGGATGTGTTAGTGCAACCTCCACTAACCAAGGCAGCAAGATCAAGTGTTGAAGCAGGGGAGAACGAGTTGAGGATGAAAGAAGTTCTAAAAGAACAAAAACAAAAATTCAGCAGCGTCGGCAGCGGCAGAGCGCCAGAACAGAGAAAGCGAGAGAACAGCCAAATCAAAACAATCGCACATTTTGCGTTCGCTGCGCTGAGCAGAACGTGAGCATGCGCGTACCGCTCACAGAGGACGTTCTTTTTTGCGGGACTTTATACTTTTCGAACAGAAGAAGAAAAAGAAGATCAAACTGATAAAAATAAATAATTTTTTTTAATAATTCTCTGATTTCATTTGTACAAAAGTTTTGTAATGTAAAATAACTCTTTGATTGATCGCTTTGTGTGTTTGTGAGTGAGTGTGAAATATCAAAATAGGCTTGTGTGTAAAGTACGATGGACAAGCGGTTGTGGACTACAGAAAAGGGGCGGAGTGTAGATTGTTAGTGCGCATCTTTTAGCGCACTTTTTGATAATTTGGCTTTGAGTTCTGTTGAAGCAAAATGTTTTTGTGTGCGATAACAACCTTATCAGCAAAGATATGCTGAAAAAGTCGCAGATCAGTGCGCACTAGCAATCTACACTCCGCCCCTTTTCTGCAGTCCACAACCGCTTGTCCATCGTAGTGTAAAGGATAAAATAAAAACGGCGACTTTGGCAAAGCATCGAGAAGAAGAAGTTGTTGTGTTGTGTGGTGTAAAACAGAAATTAAAAAAAGAGATTGTATCTGCGACTATGTACAAATGGGTGATGACTGGGCAAGAGAGAAATGGGGTGATGAATAGAATGAGGATGACAATGATGATGGACTTTGTAGCAAAGAGGGTGATGACGATGAAGTAGTAGTAGTAGTAGTAGTTTGATTGCAAGCGGTTGTATGGAGCTCAAAAGAGCAGTGAAACAAAAGAAAAGAAGTAAGTGTGTAAAGTAGTGACCAGCATTGAGGAAGGGTAGGGAGTTAGAACTCATAAAGTTGAACTCCCTTAAAAATAATAAAAACTAAAGACAAAGGCTACACTTCAGTGCCCTCGAGTTGTCCAACGGTGGGGAGGACGTTGAGGCCGCCGCCGCTGCCATTGGTGGTGACGGTGGTAGAGGAGCCGCCCTCCTCACCGTAGCCCTCATCAGGACTGTAGCGAATTGAGGTGGTGGTGGTGGTGCTCATCAGATTGGGCGTCGGCGTCACCATCAGGTGGTGATGGGAGCTGTGAAGTGGCTGCTGCTGCTGCTGTGATGGATTAAAGCCACCACCACCCTGAAGGTGGTGATTCGGTATGACTGTGGCAGTGGACCAGGGTGAGCTTCGTTTAGAGGAAGAGGTGGTCGTCTGTCCGTAGATCATCTGCTGCTGTTGATGATGAGGATACTGCTGTTGATAATGGGGGTGGTGACCACCCTCGTAGACCGGGCTGTAGTTGGCGGTGCTGTTGGAGTTGTTGGAGGCGGAGACGGTGGGCGGCGCAAAGACGTCATCGTCGTCGTACAGCAGATCCGCCGAAGAGATGTTCTGGTTCGCTAGGATATAGGCCTGATTTTGGTGATCAGGAAAGGGCGACTTGGAGGAGATGTGCATCAGGTGGGCAGCATTGGGTCTTCCCTGAGCAGCAGACTGAAGATTAGTGAAGGAGTCTGCGGGACTGATTCGGTGGTGACTTTGCTGCTGCTGGTGGTGAAAGTTCTGCTGCTGCTGCTGTTGCTGCTGTTCGGCGGCCGCCAACAGGCGAAGGTCGTGCTGACTGAGCGCATACTGACTGTACAGGTTTCCAGCTGATAAGGTGCTCAGCTGAAGCTGCTGCTGCTGCTGCTGCTGCAACTGAGGACTGTCACTGGGCTGAAAGTGCTGATTTCCAATGATCATTGGGCCTTGATGAGGAGGTGGTGGGGCCTGGACCATCACAGCTCGGTAGAGACCGTCCCCCTCCTGTTGACTGTGGTACATCTCCTGTGGGTACATCATGTCATAAGACTCGGGGGCGGCTCCGGGATTCGTCGTCATCAGCATCATCGAGCCATCCGAAGACTGGTGGGCGTGGTGAGGGTGCTGCTGCTGCTGCTGATAATGGTAAGAAGACGGCTGATAGGAGGGCATTCCTAAAAAGAAGAGAAAAAACGAGAGTCAAAACCAAATCTTTAAAATTCTTAACAAAAACTCACCACCATTGGAGTAGGTGTTCAGCTCGTAACCAGCCGGGCCGAGAATGCTGTTCGGCCCATTACTGCCGTTAGCAACCAGATCCGGCTGCTGAACAGGACTTCTCCTAGAGGAATAGCCGAAAATCTCCGGCTTCTTGTCGATGCCGTCGAGGCCGAGCATCGAGAGGTGGTGCGGCGCAATGGAAGTGGCCGAGGCGGAGGACGTCTGGTAGCCGTAGTTTGTCGCCTGACTATTTTGACCCCCACCGCCGCCGTAGACAAAGCCGTTCAGCGTTCCGCCCTTCAAAAACTGCGACACCGCCGCAGCTGCAATCGTCTTCGACTTTTCCGACATCTCCGAGCTTCCATTGCCGCCGCCATTTCCATCACCGCCACCGCCTCCAAACTTCTTCGCACTGCTCAGCGCGCTGCCGAAGCGCTTCGAGCGAATGAGGATCAGCGTGACGAGGACAAAGGCGAGGACGAGGCTGATGAGGATGCCGACAATCCCTCCCGCCAGCTCCACCCGACTCCAATTGCTGGCGGTGCCCCCGAGCAGCGAGGAGGAGGAGGGGAGGACGGTGACGGTGAAGTTCTTCGCCCGGGAGCCGGCCCGGTTCTCCGCCCAGCAGACGTACACCAGGTTGGCGTGGTCGTCCTCCGAGTCGAGGTTGATGATGGTCAGGGTGGAGGAGACGGTCCCCTCTGAAGAGCTGCCTCCTACAGATGATGCTGAAGAGCTGTGCTCCTCACTCAGGTGGTACTTTTGGGCGAAGGAGTTTGAGTTTGAGTGTGAGTTGTGTGGTGCGAGCAGTGTTCCACCGGAAGAGAGCACGGCGGCGGTGAGGTTCCGCTGCTGATGGCCAGAGCCGTCGTCGAGGTACCTGAGGTTAAAAGAAGAAGAAGAAAAAGAAAAAAAAGAAAGGTTAGATTAGAAACGCTACCGCTACCGCTTCACATCTAGGTCAACTTTAGGTCAGCAAGCCAATCTTCCCACCATTTAGCATTATCTGCGCTTTGAACTGAACTCTTCGGCAGTGACCACCCACGCATGAAATGGCCAGCAGCAGCAGACTAAGACTAACTATAAAGATTGACCAGCAGCAGCAGTGACTATCTCGCTCTGGTCATCAAAGACTTATCAATCCGGTCAGTTGGTAGTAAACAGAGCAAAGACACCGAGGTAGTAAATCACGACTGGGCAAACACACACACACTGACTAATTTCAACCGAGTGACCGCTTTTTCTCTCTCATGAGTAATTGTTCTTCTAATCGCTGTCGGCGACTAAACCGCCGCCGCCGCCATTTCCTTTGGCGGTGCTAATTAGCTTCCCCCGTTTAACTTTAGGAAACTCCAATAAAAAGAGTACTACTACTCACCAGTAAATCTTTGGCTCGGGCAGTCCCTTGACGGTGCAGACAAGGGTGGCGTTGGCGCCCGCTGGCCGGGCCACCTCCACGGTGGTGCTGAGCATCTCCGGCTGACAGGCAAAGTCATCGAGGTCGAGGCTGTTCCACATGAGGCCGGAGAGGCGGAGGGGCAGCTCGCAGGCGGGCGGAATCGACTGGCCGACGTTGTTGCGGATCATCCACTCGCGGGTGGCGCGCATCTCGCAGTTGCACACCCACGGATTGCGGTACAGGTCAAAGGAGTAGAGGGCGGGCAGGTCCTGGACGACGGCGTACGGCAGGGTGGTGAGTTGGTTCGAGTGCAGGTAGAGGTACTCGAGGTCGGCCAGGCCCCAGAAGGCCCGCGCTTCGATGGTGTGCGTCTGGCAGCCTAAAAATACAAATAGAAATCAGGATTAAAATCGAAAGAAAAGGTAAACAAAGCGCGCGGCGGCCGCCATCTTTGATCTGTAGCCTGACCGTAGTGGGTGTAAATAGAAATCGAAAAGTAGAAAAGCGGTAAATCGAAATCGTACCTGAAAGATTCAGAAACTTCAGACTGGTAAGCGGCGCAAAAGCTTCAGCGCTGATCGTCGCAATGTGATTGCCATTGAGAAGAAGACGCCGAAGATTTGTGGTGTTCGCCAGCGCCTTCACCGGCACCGTCGTCAGGAGGTTTTCGCTCAGGTCCAGCTCCACCAGGTTGGTCAGCTGCACAAAGGCGTCATCGGCGATGGCGCCCAGCTTACAGCGGGGCAGAAAGAGCTTCTGCAGGTTGATGAGACCGCGCTCCTGGAAGGCTCTCGACGGCAGAATCTGAAAGTTGTTGGTGTTCAGGTCGAGGACCTGAGTCGAGGGCGATATCTGATTGGGAATCGATATCAGATTCTGGTTCTCGCAGATGGTCGTCTGCTTGCCGTTTCGCCAGATGCAGCTGCACACCTGCGGGCAGATCATCAGCTGGGCGGAGGCGGCGGCGACGAAGATGAAGAAGGTTATGAAGAGAAGGTGGTAATACTTGAAAGAGGCCATTGTGAAAGAGGTGGACAATGGACAACAGAGTCTTTCACTAAAGAAGTTAAAATAGCGTCCTTCTTCCTCCTCTTTTTCCTATTTCTATTTTCTTAGGCAGAGTTGATTGATTTCACCGCTGCTGTTGCTGTGACTGTTCCTGATGATGATGGTCATGAGAAAAAGTGGCAAGTTTTACGCTTTTTTCATGAAAAGAAAAACAAATCAGGAGACAGGTGATGGAGAAGAGGAGAGAAAACGATAATTGCCGTCTTCAAGCTTTAACTGCAGACTTCTCTCTCATCATCAATACATTTACTAAATAGTCGTGGACAGATGAGCAAACGAGCTGCTGAGGCTGCTGTTGTGGTGGCTTCAAATTAGCGGCGCCCAGTTTCCTTATTATTATTATCGGTTTGGCTTCCTTTGGATGGGATTTTATGAGGGCAAATTAATCAGCTCCTTCTTCTTCTCCTCCTCAAATGTGATCGATTGAGTATCAATTGGCAGTCCTAGTTGTACTCGGTAAGTCAGTCAGTCAGCTGCTTTGGCGGCAGTGGTGCTGGGATGATTGAACTGACGTGATTAATAAGGCACGCTCCAGTGGACGAAATGAGAGAGATTCACCTGCAAAGAAGAAGGGAAAGAAGAAGAAGAGGTTAGTGATTTGAAAAAGTACAAAATATAAAGTCTAGAAGGGGAGAAAAAAATGAAATAAAACACGATGAACTCAAATTGAACTGAACTCTCTGAGCAGACCTTGAACAGTGAGAGAGGAGAAGATTTGCGACCGATTTAGAGAGGAGAAAAAGAAAGAAAAAGAAAGGAGTAAAAGACAAATTGGAGAAAACGATTCACTTTTTTCCTCCACCTATCCTTCTTTCTGCTGCAACAAACATTGTAATCATAATCATTTTGTATCAAATAACACACACAAACACACACCTCAAGAAACAACTCAAAATTGCGCCAAATTGAGCCTCCTCACAACAAAACAGCAGCAGCAAAAAGTGGCTAGAAAATATAGCAAATAGAGACTGAAAACAGCTTCACAACTTGCCCAGCTCACACACGCTGTGACTTTTCAACCCTGTGAAACTCATTTTTTGAGGCGTCGGCAGCTCTCTTTCACCAAGAAAAAGAAATGCTAAAACTCGACCAATAATATGATTTAAATCAAATAAGAGCGCGCGCGCACGTCGTTCAAACACACAGAAAAAACTTCCACAGTGGCTAAAAATACACAGAAAAAGACAGCGGAGTTTGGGGCGCCGCCGCCGCCGCTGTCAGCCAACTTTTCTATCAGCTTTTCTTCTTCTTCTTCTCATTGTGTCAGATAATGACCCAAAAAGAGCTAGCCAGCCAGTTCAATGTTTAATGACACTGCTTCAGTCGTTGTCCATTCACCTCATTCATCAGCTCATTCATCCTCGTCGAATTATGTCCGAATTATTAGTGGTCAGAAGGTTTCTTTATTTCACCCCACTTCTTCTTTAGTGCTGCTGCCTCGATTTATCGCTTTCCAATCAAGGTGTGGACATGTTCACCAAGAAGGAGATGAGAATGATGAGAAAAAGCTGTTGGAGTTGCTCCCATCAGCTCTCAAACACTGAGATGATTTTAAGATGATTTTGAGAAGAGTTGTTGTAAAAAGGGATCGGATCGGAAGAAGGACGTTATCTTTGCTGCTAACACACCTTTGCTGCTGACACTCGTCTTTTTCACCCCAATTTTTTCGCTACTTTAAAAATCTAGTAGATCTAAATGTCTAGAGTGCTTATCGAGGAGGATCACAAGCCACTGATTTAAACAAGCGGAAAAGAAAAAGAAAAAGTCGGAAGAAGAGAGGGCGCAAAAAAGATCACAGGTCGAGATTGTAATCATGACCAGCTCAACTCAAAGGCTTCATAGGCTTTTGATCACCGAAAAAGAAAGAACTCTTGGCAACACAATTGAACACAGCTGAGATCAACAGTCAGACAGAAGCTAAAGGCCACAACAAACACAATAAAAGAAGAAGAAGAAGGTTTGAGGACAAAGGATTAGCTGACGGTGGACGGGGTGAAAAGAAGAAGAAGAAGAAGAAGGCGAATAAGAAGGCAAAGAAAGAAAGCTGGTCATCCTCATTCCTATCCTTTACCCCCACTTTTATTATTTTTCCTCTCCTTTCCTTCTTTTGATATTTATTATCATCAGATTTGCATCCCCTCTTTTCTCTTCCCTCTCCCCACCCTCCCCTTTCTTCTTCTTCTTCTTCTTCTTCACCTCATGAGATATTCATGACCTACGCCCTGAAACGAGCTGCTGCTAAGGCTGCTGCTGCTGTCTACCTTCTTTTTCTTCACCTCACAACTGCTCAACTTCTTTTGACTGACTGACTGGAGAACAGCTGAACTGAACTGAACTGAACTGAAGAAAAACACGTCTGGCCATTACGTAAGAAGTAGGGAGACTGCTGCTGCTGCTGNAGGCTGCTGTCTACCTTCTTTTTCTTCACCTCACAACTGCTCAACTTCTTTTGACTGACTGACTGAAGAACAGCTGAACTGAACTGAACTGAACTAAAGAAAAACACGTCTGGCCATTACGTAAGAAGTAGGGAGACTGCTGCTGCTGCTGCTGACTGACAGAAAAAGCGGAGAAAAAAGTTGAAAAGAGGAGAAGAGGGTACGGCATGAGCAGCAAAAGCGCCGATGGCCATTTTGTAATATATTATTTTTTCCTCACTCCTCACTACTACCTGCTTTCAAAAATCCAATTAAACTGCTGCTGGTGCTCTAGAGAAGGAGAAAGAGAGATCGTAGGCGGATGTTTGGCAGCCATCGTTTGACGGCTGACAACAGCAGAAATAGTGGTGAGTTACCTGAGAGAGAACCTGCTCTCAAACATTGAACCACCACCACCACCACCACCGCAATCGACCTGCCCTTTGACCTTTCGATTCCTGGCCCCTCTTCTCTCAGTTCCTCTCACTTTGCCACCACCACCAGCACACTCTAAACAGTTCACGAATTGACGAGCAGGAGAGCAGGAGATGCTCGGTCAATTAACTTTTGATGTTCCCTCTCTCACTCTCTTGAATTGAATTGAATTGAGAGGGAGAGAGAGCATCGACGAAAAAAAATTGGTGGTCTATTCTTTCCACTCACTAAAGAAGAGAAAGAGAGCGTTTTTGCTGCTGCTGCTGCCCCTTGATGTCCTTCTTTTGTTCTTCTGACAGATAATTTCACTCTTCAGCAGAGGCAGCAGCAACAGCAGCGATTCTCGAGTTAGCTTTCACTGCTAGAATCGAACGAAAAATACAAAAATAAAATAAAGAGAGGTAACTCAAGAGTGAGGGGTCAAAGTTCGACAACTTTTTCCTTCCCTAGTCAAGCACTACTACTTGAAAACTCGAGAGTACACACACTTGCTGCTGGTGGCAGCCATAATCAGCTGAAAAAAAGTAGTGGTAGTAGTGCAATAATAAAAAATGATAATAAAAGTAAAATCAGAAATTCAAGGATCTTTAGAAGAGAGCTACCAAGGGCTTCTTTTCATCATCATCATCATCAGATGCTGGCTTTCATTGCTATATTTTGCAGACTATCCAGGACTATCAAGCACTTTAATTGCCAACTGCTGGCTAATCTCATTATTCTTCTCTGGCCGCCCAATCGATCTAGTCTTCAGCAGCAGCAGCTAATCCCTCTGCACCAAATTACCACCAAGTACTGCACACAGCTTGCGTATTTTTTTACGTCTTCTTCTTCTCCATCTTCGTTAGACAGACAAGGTCGTCCTTTGTTCTCCCTCCCTCCCTAGCTCATTTCACCTAACTCATTTCATTTCTAAACTAAGAGGACACACACTGTCTGACAATTACTAATTAATCATACGTCATTACCACCACCACTGCCGGACTGGACTGCAACAAACAAGCCAAGTTGAAGCTAAAGTCAAAGCCAAAGCTAAAGCTGCACATCGTTGATCTAGTTTCATTCCTACCTGTATCTGCAACTTCTAAATTACCAGCAAAGCTAAAGTTAAGTTAAGTTGTGGTGGTGGTGGTCATCATCATCATCCTTCTCCTAACAACGCACACTCCAATTAAGGAGGCAGATGAAGAAGAAGAGGAGGGAGAAGAAGAAGAGTAACGGACATTCAGTCAGACAGACAGTCGGACAGTTCAGAGCCACAAGAGTTGTCCTCGCTTCTTCAACTTCAGCAGCTTCTTCAACTTTGCCAGATACCTGCCAGAAAAAAGAGCTAAGCAGTGGCCACTCAACTGACGAGGACAATACCACCACCACCACTCAAGACAGGTTATTTATATCCTCTCTTCTCCTCTCCTCTCCCTCAGCAACTTCAACAACTTCAACAACATCTCTTGAAAGAAGAAGAAGAAGCAAAAAGTTCGACTCGACAGCTTTTGCCTCTTCTTCTTCTTCTGAAGGTGCTGATCTGCAGCAGCAGCAGCCTCAGCAAAAAGCTCCATTTCTTAAACTCTTTCTGCAGCAGCAGCAGCACCCAAACCTCAGATTGTCCAAACGGACAATGGGCTTGAGAATAGAAAAAGAGCAGAAGAAGGGAATGAATGAAAAGGCGATTACAGTCAATTAAATTTCATTAGTCACAGTGGCGGCGGCGGCGGCAGACTGAAAAGAACTAGATGAGCAAGAAGAAGAAGAAGAAGCATAGAAGAAGAAGAAGGTGAGATGAGGTGCTAGCATAGAAGAAACCACTCTTCAACGCTAAAGAATAATAGTTCAGCACACTTTAAAATGCGGAAACGCTGTTCAACTGCTGTCTGTCACCTAGTGGTCTAATTTAAATTTAAATTTGCCGCCACCTTTTTCCTTTTTCTTCTTCCTCTGTGGTTATCCAATTTGAGAGCAGAAGTGGTAGTAGTAGTAATAATAATAAGACCAATTCCGTTCCATTTTCTATAAATAAGAGAGAATAAC